ACAACTCACTCAGAAACAACTGACTCTGCCACAACTCTCTCAGCCGCAACTCACTCAGCCACAACTCGCTCAGACAATACTCGTCAGGCAGAAGTCAGCCACAGCTTACTCCGCCACAACTCACTCAGCCACAACTCACTCAGCTTTCCCAGCCACAACTCACGCAGCCACAACTCACTCAGCCACAGCTCACTCAGCCGCAACTCACTCAGCCGCAACTCACTCAGCCGCAACTCACGCAGGCGCAAGTTACGCAGCCACAGCTCACTCAGCCACATCGCACTCAGCCACCTCACGCAGCCACAACTTACCCAGCCACAACTCACGCAGCCACAGCTGACTCAGCCACATCTCACGCATCCACAGCTCACGCAGCCACAACTTACTCAGCCACAACTCACGCAGCCACAACTCACTTAGCCGCAACTCACGCAGCCACAGCCTACCCAACTACTTTCGCAGCCACAGCTCACTCAGCCGCAACTCACTCAGCCGAAACTCACTCAGCCGCAACTCACCAATGCACGACCCCCCCAGCCGACTCACCCAGCCGACTCACCCAGCCACCTTACCCAGTGAACCCACCCAGCCACCCAGCCAACCCACCCAGCCAATCCACCCAGCCAACTCATCCAGCCAACTCACACAGCCAACTTGCCCAGCCAACTCACTCAGCCAACCCAGTCAGCCAACACAGTGAGCCAACGCACTCAGCCAGCCAACGCGCTCAGCCAACGCGCTCAGCCAACGCACTCAGCCAATTCACTGAGACAAGTCACTGAGCCAACTCATTGAGCCAACTCACTGAGTTAACGCGCTGAGCCAACTTGCTCAGCCAACGCACTGAGCCAACGCACTGAGCCAACTCACTCAGCCAACGCGCTCAACCAACGCACTGAGCCAACTCACTGAGCCAACGCGCTCAGCCAACTCACTGAGCCAACTCACTGACCCAACGCACTGAGCCAACTCACTCAGCCGACTCACTGAGGCAACAGCCTGAGCCAACTCACTCAGCCAACGCACTCAGCCAAGTCACTCAGCCAAGGCACTGAGCCAACTCACTGAGCCAACGCGCTCAGCCAGTGCACTCAGCCAACGCACTGAGCCAAGTCACTCAGCCAACTCACACAGCCAACTTCCCCAGCCAACTCACTCAGCCAACTCACTCAGCCAACGCACTGAGCCAACGCACTGAGCCAACGCACTGAGCCAAGTCACTCAGCAACTCACTGAGCCAACTCACTCAACTCACTCAGCCAACGCACTGAGCCAACTCGCTCAACTCGCTCAGCCAACGCACTCAGCCAGCGCACTCAGCCAACGCACTGAGCCAAGTCACTCAGCAACTCACGCAACTCACTCAGCCAACGCACTGAGCCAAGTCACTCAGCCAACGCACTGAGCCAACGCACTCAGCCAGCGCATTCAGCCAACGCACTGAGCGAAGTCACTTAGCCAACGCATTCAGCCAACGCGCTCAGCCAGCGCACTCAGCCAACGCACTGAGCCAAGTCATTCCGCCCTCAGCAAGCGCAATCATCCAAGATACTCAGCCAACGCACTGAGCCAACTCACTGAGCCAACGCACTGAGCCAACTCACTCAACTCACTCAGCCAACGCATTCAGCCAGCGCACTCATCTGAGCCAAGTCACTCAGCCAACGCGCTCAACGCAGCCAACGCACTGAGCCAACGCAGCCAACGCACTGAGCGAAGTCACTTAGCCAACGCATTCAGCCAGCGCACTCAGCCAACGCACTGAGCCAACTCACTCAGCCACGCACTGAGCCAACTCACTCAGCCAACGCACTGAGCCAAGTCACTCCGCCCTCAGCAAGCGCACTGAGCCAAGTCACTCAGCCAACGCACTGAGCCAACTGACTCAACTCACTCAGAAAACGCACTCAGCCAACGGACTCAGCTAACGCGTTCAGCCAACGCACTCAGCCAACGCACTCAGCCAGCGCACTTAGTCAACGCACTGAGCCAAGTCACTCAGCCAACGCACTGAGCCAACTCACTGAACTCACTCAGCCAACGCACTGAGCCAACGCACTCAGCCAGCGCATTCAGCCAACGCACTGAGCGAAGTCACTTAGCCAACGCATTCAGCCAGCGCACTCAGCCAACGCACTGAGCCAACTCACTCAGCCACGCACTGAGCCAACTCACTCAGCCAACGCACTGAGCCAAGTCACTCCGCCCTCAGCAAGCGCACTGAGCCAAGTCACTCAGCCAACGCACTGAGCCAACTGACTCAACTCACTCAGAAAACGCACTCAGCCAACGGACTCAGCTAACGCGTTCAGCCAACGCACTCAGCCAACGCCCTCAGCCAACTACTCGGTTCACGGGTCCCATTGCGCCGTGGCGCGAAGTCAATGTCTGTTGCTGCAAAATACTGTTGATGGCAAGGTGTTTAACAATCTTCAGAAACCAGCATGCACGAGAAGCTCGAAAACAATCTTTTTCACATGATGTCTCGAGGGTTTCAAGGCCCCCGCCGCCTGCATGATGTGCTGTCTCCACATCCTTTGGTACACATACTTCACAGCTTCTTCATTGAGCCGTGACTCCCCGCGTTCTTTGATCTTCAAGATCAGGCGGCGGGGTAGCCACGGCTTCAGAGCGCCCCAACTCCTATCTGTACATTGCGTTCCTGCTTGCCCGCTTATCTTTCCGGCACCGTGATGGGTGGGCCTGCAAAAGACTCGCAATTGATGCGACACTGCGTCTGTTTTCATGCCTGCAGCCTTTGCCGCTGAGTTCCATGCAACAGTGCCATCAGCAAATATGCGCACGCACTTTCGCGGGTGTTTCACGAGAGTCAGCAGCTTGGAGTTGTTCACCTGCCAGGAATCAAGCGGAAAAAACCGTAGTATCTGATCTTCAAAAAGTAACGTGCTTTCACTTTGATGTGGGTCTGTTTGGGGGAACGCGCTCAGCCAACGCACTCAGCCAACGCACTCAGCCAGCGCACTCAGCCAACGCACTGAGCCAAGTCACTGAGCCAACGCGCTGAGCCAACTTACTTAACTCACTCAGCCAACGCACTCAGCCAACGCACTCAGCCAAGCCAACGCACTGAGCCAAGTCACTCAGCCAACGCGCTGAGCCAACTCACTCAACTCAGCCAACGCACTGGGCCAACGCACTCAGCCAATGCACTCAGCCAGCACACTCAGCCAACGTCAGCCAACGCACTGAGTTGATTTACTCCACTCAGCCAGCACACTCAGCCAACGCACGCAACCAGCGCACTCAGCCAATGCGCTGAGCCAACTCACTCAACTCACTCAGCCAACGCACTCAGCCAGCGCACTCAGCCAACGCACTGAGCCAAGTCACTCAACTCAGCCAACGTACTGGGCCACTCAGCTAACACACTGAGCCAAGTCACTCAACTCACTCAGCCAACGCGCTTAGCCAGCGCACTCAGCCAACGCACTGAGCCAACTCGCTCAACCAACGCACTGAGCCAACTCACTCAACTCATTCAGCCAACGCACTCAGCCAGCGCACTCAGCCAACGCACTGAGCCAACTCACTCAACTCAATCAGCAAACGCACAGCCAGCGTGCTCAGCCAACGCACTGAGCCAAGTCACTCAGCCAACGCACTGAGCCAACTCACTCAACTCACTCAGCCAACGCGCTCAGCCAACGCACTCAGCCAACGCACTGAGCCAAGTCACTCAGCCAACCAACTTACTCAACTCACTCAGCCAACGCACTCAGCCAGCGGACTCAGCCAACGCACTAAGCCAACTCACTCAGCCAACGCGCTGAGCCAAATCACTCAACTCACTCAGCCAACGCATTCAGCCAGCGCACTCAGCCAACTCACTGAGCAGCCAACCCAACTCACTCAGCCAACGCACTCAATCAGCGCACTCAGCCAACGCACTGAGCCAAGTCGCTCAGCCAACGCACTGAGCCAACTCACTCAACTCACTCAGCCAACGCACTCAGCCAGCGCACTCAGCCAACGCACTGAGCCAAGTCACTCAGCCAACGCACTGAGCACACTCAGCCGCGCTGAGCCAAGTCACTCAGCCAACGGAGTGAGCCAACTCGCCCAACTCACTTAGCCAACGCACTGAGCCAACTCGCACTCAGCCAAGGCTCTGAGCCAAGTCACTCAGCCAACGCGCTGAGCCAACTCTCTCAACTCACTCAGCCCACGCACTCAACCAGCGCACTCAGCCAACGCACTGAGCCAAGCGCACTGAGCCAACTGACTCAACTCACTCAGCCAATGCACTCAGCCAGCGCACTCAGCCAACGCACTGAGCCAAGTCACTCAGACAACGCACTCAGCCAACTCACTCAACTCGCACTCAGCCAACGCACTGAGCCAAGTCACTCAGCCAACGCACGCAGCCGCCAACGCACTGAGCCAAGTTACTCAGCCAACGCAGAGCCAACTCAGCCAGCGCACTCACACTCAACGCACTCAGCCAACGCACTCAGCCAACGCACTGAGCCAAGTCACTCAGCCAACGCACTGAGCCAACCCACTCAACTCACTCAGCCAAGGCGCTCAGCCAGGACACTCAGCCAACGCCCTGAGCGAAGTCACTCAGCCAACGCACTGAGCCAACGCCAACGCACTCAGGCAGCGCACTCAGCCAAAGCACTAAGCCAAGTCACTTAGCCAACGCGCTGAGCCAACTCACTCAACTCACTCAGCCAACGCGCAGCCAGCGAACGTACTGAGCCAAGTCACTCGCACTACTCAGCCAACGCACTCAGCCGGCGCACTCAGCCAACACACTGAGCCAAGTCACTCAGCCAACGCACTGAGCTAACTCACTCAACTCACTCGGCCAACGCACTCAGCCAACGCACTCCGCCAGCGCACTCAGCCAACGCGCTCAGCCAACGCACTGGGTCAACTCACTCAACTCACTCAGCCAACGCACTCCGCCAGCACTCAGCCAACGCACTGACCCAAGTCACTCAGCCAACTCAGTCAACTGCTTGATTCGCTGCGAGGCGCGGCAATTCTCTGAGTTGCCCCCACCTCGGCGGGTTCCTGTGCCGAAGCCCAGCCGAAAGAGTCTTCTGCAGGCACGGCGTTGTTGGGACTGGGCGGAACGGGTTTCGTTTCATTGCTTGCAAGGCGGTAGAGGGCGTGCCACGCGTGCACGAGCAGGCCCCCAATTCACGAGTGTGCATGGGGCACAGCATTTCTTGAGTCATGGGACGCAGGCCCTCCAGCGGCGTTTGGACTTTTTGCTTTCTGAAGATGCGGTGGCTCGGCGCACCAGGGTTTGACCAGAGCAATCCTAGTTAAAAATAATGCACAAATGATGAACAATGACCTAGCTGGATATTATATCAGGTGAAGCAGCAGTTGGCAGCGCCCCTACGATATGGCCTCAGTCCCTACTTTGTGGAATTCCAATGCTGGAGCAGGCAGGGCAGGGGAATGGTGGCAAGAGCAGCGCGTTGGGTGTCACAGGCAGCTCCGTGATCTGCGCCGCATCTACCGCGCGCAATACCTCCAGAAGCTTGCTGAGGAGGGAAGAGCAATGAGTCCGTGAAAGCTCGGTTGGGCCCGTGGTAGGTCACTGAGATTGAGAGGGTCAAGGAGGCCAAGCTGGGTTGCGCACAAACCTCAAGACCTCGAGATGGAAGGCTGAACTGTACAAGAAGGAGCAGGAAATAAGAAAGGAGAGGAGAGAGGCGTGGGCGGGTTGCGGTCAAGGTCCCTGAGACCTCACTCCCGCATCTCCGCTGACTGAGACCCTGTGAGGCGCACCTGCAGCGCATCGGCGAGGCGCTCGGCTCCCGTGCCTCGCTTTCCTTTTGCCACCTGGGAAAAGGATATGAAGCGCCGCGCCATCCTGCGCGATCGGAAGCGCATCGAGTCCAAGGTGAACGAGGCCGTTGCAACTGCATACGAAGGCCTAGGCATAGGCCTAGGGCATAGGCCTAGGGCATAGGCCTAGGGCATAGGCCTAGGGCATAGGGCCTAGGGCATAGGCCTAGGGCAAAGGCTGCATAGGCCTTGGCTTACCCCTTCCTTGCAATCTTGGGCTCGTGTGCTGTCCAGACGACTTGTGGAAGTGCATCCACATTCCAAGCAACTTCTCTCAGGTCACGCCATGCTTGTAGCATTCAGTCACAAGCACCACAGATCTTGGACATGGAGCCAAGAAGGGGCAGCCTCGATATGTTCATGTCAGACCACCCCCCCCCTTTGACGCCATGGTGTATGGCTTGATGATCCACTCGGCAAAGTTCTCAGAGTCCTAGTGCACCAGTACACCTAGTTCATCCTGTTATTGGAGAGGCTTGATCAAGTTTGCAATACTGTCTGACTTGGACTCGCAGCTTCAGGTTGATTCCAGTCAGACTCTTCATTTCTCGATCTTCTACACACCAGAGGCCGTGCGCAGAGGAGGCGTGTCCTTGGGGCATGCGTTCCGCAGGGCAACAACGCCTACAAAAAGACCCGGCAGCAGGCCATTATGCGCAGGATCTTGGAGGACCAAACGCCAGGCTTTGAATTCTCTCTCTCTCTCTCTCTCTCTCTCTCTCTCCCTTTGGTTCGTTAAAATCGGTTGTTACTTTGCTTACAAGTGCAAGTGCTGTAGTGTTCAAACAAACAGCCAACCAATGTAGTCTGCAGCTGCCAACCTTTTGACTCATGCGGAGTAGTAAGCTCAAGGCCTGCGGTAGTGAACATACATGCAACAAGAGTGCAAAGTGAAGCATGTAGTTTGACACGGCCCCTCAGTTAAAAGGTCTTTGTAGTACCTTTTCAACTGAAGTGCAAAACATGGATTGATAGTAGTGATGAAAACCATTGTTGTTCATCAATTCTACTGTATTGGCAAAAGTAGTGACCTGCGCTCAGTAGTTCACGCTGTTCAGGTTCCAGCTCGATGTAGGGCGCTGGACGGAAGCAGTGAAGGCAGGCGCTGGTTGTAGTAGAGCAGGAGCTCAAAAATGTAGTCCCCAGTTCTGGGTGCGGTAGTCTTGGACCATCTGTAGTCGACTGTCCAAGGTCGCGTAGTAGTTGGTGGTGAAAAAGGTTGTCATGTAGTTTGGAGCTCCCCGTAGTCGCTCATCATCAATCTCGGGACACGACATGTGTTGGTTGTAGTCCCGTAGAAAGCGGTGTAGTAGTGCTTTGTGGTGTTGTGTGAGGTTGGTCATTGTGAGTAGTGTGAATCCGTAGTATTGGATGCTTTTGCAGAGGATTGTAGAGATTGCTTTGTGCTGGAAGTCGTGTAGTTGGTCTCGGTTGTAAAGGTAATGGAGTAGTTCAGGTAGAAGTAGTGGCATGTGGTAATTCCAAACGTAGTTGTTCCTGAGGCTGTAGTTGTCAGTGAAGGTGGCCATGTTGTAGTTCACCTTGAAGATGGTCTGTGGCAGTGTTGTAGTCGGGAGGTAGTAGTTGTGTTGTACCGACATCATGTAGGAGATGTAGTCCCTTGTGAAGTGTAGAAATTGTCCTGAAGTGAGGTACCTCAGGAGTAGTGGTTGTTCAATCTGGAGTTGGATGATGACGTAGTTGGTGTTGTCGCCAGTTGTAGTGTGGAGTGAAGTCGTGTGGTAGTAGTGGACGTTGGCTGCTTCAGGTAGTGAAATGCTGAGCAGTGTGGAATTGTAGTGTGGCATCCGAAGATCTCCAGGGATGCAGTGAACGGGTCGTGTGTAGTCCAGTTGTGCCAGTGGAGTAGCTTGTTGTTGTGAGAGTAGTTGATACTCTTCAAGTGTAAATGCAGTGAAAAATTGCGTGTAGGGAATGTTGTTGGGCAGTGGTGGTGCAGTGGTTGTCTGGTGCTCAGTGATGTGTAGTTGGTCCATCACTGTGGTCGGGTTGTAGTAGACGGTGTTGCCGGGTGTAGGATGGTTGAAGTGGTAGTTGAAGTCGTTGTAGGTTTGAGGTGGTGGAGTTCCATGGTCACTGGAGTCTGTAGTGACCGCCACCTCACGTGTAGTCGCCCTGTCGGGCGTAGTGGCGTCTCCCATTGTAGCATCTGCAGTAGATGGAGCGGCCATGGCTGCAGTGGAATGTAGTGAAACGGGGCAAAACAAATGAGCCTAAGTAGTTGCTACCAGGCAGTCGGCGAATGCAGACATGTAAAGCAAACAACTGTAGTGTTGACTCAAGCCGCCAAAAGTGCAAGTGAAAGTACATGTAGTTACTGTTACTTACATACCAAAAGTGTCGTGTTACATGTAGCCACTTACATAGATGAAATGTTCAAAAGTCGTTGTTGTTGTTGTTGTTGTTGTTGTTGTTGTTGTGAAACTGCTGTGCTGGTCATTCGTAGTGCTAGATGCGTATTCCAATGCTCTGGATGAGCCTGTGTAGTGTTTCTTTGCTGATGTAATTGGTAAACAAATCTGCGCTGTTGTGGAGTGTGGTGATCTTAAGGATTCTGATGATGTCGTGCTTGATGAGGTCTTGTGTGTAGAGGAATTTGAGGTCGATGTGTTTTGCTCGTTTGCTAGTGCCTTGTCGTGTAGCAATGCTCTTGCCTGCTGTGGAGTCTGTGTGGATGCGTAGGTTTAGCTTGCTGCAAATGTTGGTTTCAAGTAGGAAGTTTCTGAGGTGTAGTCCCTCATTAACTCCTGTGCAAATGGCGTAGAGTTCAGACTCTGCTGAGCTAAGTGCTATTGTAGCTTGTGTTCTGCTGCCAAATGCAACTGTTGTTCCTAGAAAGATGATGTTGAAACCTGAAGTTGATTTCCTGGTAGTAGGGCATCCTGCCCAGTCGGCATCGACATGAACGTCGAGATCCAGGATGTTGTTGGTGTTTGCTCTGAGTGTTGTTGTTGGTTCTATGGTGAATTTGTAGTGCTTGGTGCCGTGCAAGTAGCGTAGTAGATGTTTGACTCTCTTTTGTGAAAGTTCTGTAGGTGCTGTGAGGTCTCGTGCTAGTTCTTTTGTGGAGTATGCAATGTCTGGTCGTGTGTATGCTAACCATTGAAGTTTGCCAACAATTCTGTACCTTTTGTGTTGTTCGTGGTCAAGTAGTGCTTCATCTTCTATTGTTGGTTTGTAGTGTACAATTCCTGGAGTGTTTACTGAGTTGCAGTTGTTCATTCCAGACTCCTCGATCATGTTGTCGATGTAGGAGTCCTTTAGTCCAAGATTGCAGTAGTTGCCGAAGTGGTCGATGTTTCTTCCCAGAAATTGTTGTGGTTTGCCAGGTTCGAGGTAGCCGATGCGCTGGAGTAGTACCTGCTTCTGGACGGCCTCGAAAGTGGAGTCGACTGCGGTCTTGTCTCCAAGTACTAGTAGATCGTCCACGTAGACCATGATGTAGCAGTCGCGAGTCGCATTGGTGTAGACGTTGGGTTCTGACTTTAGTCTTACAAAGCTGAGCTTTTGTAGAACTTCAGCCAGGTAGTCCTGCCATGCTTTCGGTGAACTGCGTAGTCCATACATGGCTTTCTTTAGTCGCCAGATTTTGTCCTGTTGTGGACAAAGTTCTTTAGGTGGCCAAAGGTAGACGTCACGTTGTTTACCGTCGTGGTCTTTTGCGATGGGTGCGTGTAGAAATGCTGTAGAGACGTCACCTAGTCGCGCGATCCAGTTTGGTCGTGACATTTGTAGTGCGAGAAGTGTCCGGAGTGTCGTGAACATTGGTGTAGAGGCGTAGACGGAGTCTTCGTCCTCGATCTTCTCGGTGTAGCCTTTTGCGACGATTCGGCTTCGTACTCCTGGTCCTTTCTTTCTGTGTACCCATCTTGTAGGTATCGCTTCTCTGATGACGTTGTCGTCGACGGTAGACGCATCTACTTCGTCGTAGACGTCGTGTAGTTTCATTTGGTTTGACTCGTGTTTCATTCCTTCCAGTAGTTGTGTTTCGTCGTAACCTTCGTTGTCGAAGATTATGGGTTGGTCTTCTGAGGTGTCGTCGTTTGTGTAGGGAGTGATGGATTTTCCGTTGGGAAGTGTCACTGCGTTGATTTTCTGTCGTAGTGGTGGTGGTTCTTTGGTTGCTTGCTCCGTTGATCTGATTGTAGTGTCCTTTGAGGTCTTCTGTGCTTTAGTTGGTTGCATTACTTCTTCCGGAGTTAAACGTCGTAGTGTTTGTCGAGGTGGTGCTGGTAGTGGTGGATGTTGTCGTCCAGTTGGTGAAGTAGCCATAGGACTATCCGGTAGTGGTCGTGAACTTGACGTCGATGTGGACGGAAGTCGTGGAGGTGGTGTAGTGCGTTGTTGTTTTGTTGCGGGTTCCGCAACGATGTCGTCCGTAGCGTTCGTTTGTTGTCCGAAATCTTGCGTGGACCTTCTTTTCTCTGACGGTTGTAGTTGCGTATCCAACAGTGTTGCGAACGATGGGTTGTAGGTGTTCCGTCGTGGTGCCCATGGTGTGCCGGAGACTTTGTTCAACAGTGCGAGGTCGTATTTGAAGTCCGGTTGTAGTCTCCGTACTGTTCGTACCTTTTGTACGCCTGATTCCGTTGCGACGTAGTTTTCTCCGGTTTCGGAAACTTTTCCGAGCCAGATGCATTTCTGCATCCGTAGGTCTGCTTTCGGAAGTTTCTTGTGTTGTGGTGGAAGGTAGAGTAGTGTCTCGCCAAATTCGCAGATTGCTCGCTCGTAGTTTCTTCCCCAGCGGCGTTCGAAGCTTGTGTAGCCGTCTGAGTGAATGACGTAGCGATTTACCGTCCATGCTGCATGTCGTACTATCCAAGGTAGTAGACAGTGCTTTGTGGACATCGTCATGCTGTAGTTGCTTTCAACCTGAGCTTTGACGACGCGGATTTGTCCGAGAAGTGTTCTATGTAGTCGCTCAACGCTTCCTTGACTGTTGCTGCTGTAGGAAGGTGAATGTCGTGCACTCATTGTGCCGACTTTTGCTGCTGTAGCTTTTAGAAGTGCGTTGAGTGTGTCTTCGTTGTCGCTTTGTAGTATGCCTTGTGTTCTTCCGCACTCAAAGATGAATGCTTGTAGGTTGTTGACCATGTAGTCCATCATTGATGATTTGTCTGGAACCAATACTGCCATACACAGTTGTGTAGTAACATCAACTGCTGTCAGTACCGGTGTGGTCTTTGGGTCTTGTTGTGACTTGATGTAGGCAAAGTCTACTTGAATGACAGGTTGTCGTGATTGTTGTTTCTTGTAGTTGTCTTGGCGTCCTTTGCCTTGAACGCAAATTGGACACCAGTTTCTGTATGGTAGATGTGTAAGGTTGTGTTCTGCTATTTGTTGTGGAGTGGGCTGCTGTGGTTGTCGCAGTCCTCTTGCTCTGTGTGCTTCATGATGCTCGTGTTGTTGTTCTTCATCGTGGTTCTCCTGGATGTACTCGTAGTCTTTCTTCACGGTGAACCTTGTTGTTCCTTTCCATTGAAATGGTAGTGCTGCGTTGCCCATGACTGTCCAGTCATCTTTGCGTTGTGAAACTTCTCCAAAGTTGTTGTGAGTGATTGTAGTTCTGTAGGTTCAAGTGTGTTGATTGGTGGATGTCCTGGTCCATCTGTTGGAGTGAAGAGAGTTGTTCTAAGCGTTGTGTGGTGTCGTATCCAGTGTTCACCTTGTCTTTCCCAGTAGTCTTGGTTGTCCTCCTGTGCTGTGAGTGGTCTGTGTATTGTCTCCTTTGGTTGTGTGGTGTCAAGATTTGTAGAAGGTGCTGCTTTGGGTCTCCATATCTTTTGTGGTGCTCGTAGTTGGATCTTTGATCTGGTTGGTGGTGTGTCCATTAGCCGTTGTGGTTGTGAGCTCTGCCTTGTTGGTGTTGTCTTTGATGTTGCTCTGCGTGTAGGTGTTATCTTTCTTCTGAATCTGGTTTCTCCAGTCCAGTTGTCACCTTCTAGTCTTCGTTGTAGTTCTTGCTTGGAAAGTTGTGTTGGGTTCTCTTGTAGTTGTTCTTGCTCTTGCCCTTGTCTGTTGATGATGGTTAGTCTCCAATCATCTAGTTCTCCTTCTGGTATTGGGCAGCCACTGTTGTGTGGTGTGAACAGTGCTTTGCGTGGTCGTTTGTGTACTCTGATGGCGTAGTCACCATCAAGTTTCCAGTAGTCAGTGTTTCCACCAAGGATCTGTCGTAGTCCTTGGTCTGTGTGTGTGAGTGGTGCGATTTGTTCTTGTTGTTGTGCTGCTCTCTCTGTAGGTTGAATCACAGCAATGGATTTTCCATTGTCTGTAGTCATTGGGTAGATGTCGAATCCTGTAGGAATGTCGATCTTCTCTGCTCGTAGGTAGAAAAGTCCTGAGTGTCTTATGAGGTGTGCTTGTTGTTGTCCATGTGTGATGGTGCAGTGTCGTGGAGTGAAGTCAAGTCCATATCCTCTATCAAGTAGTCTTGATGCGCTGAGGATTGGATACTTCACATCACAAACGTAGTAGGGTATCATGATCCTGAAGTTGTCCTGCTTGTAGGGAACGTACTTGATGCCGTAGACTGGAATCTTCTTGTTGGTCACCGTGTAGAGTTGTGGAACTGATTCTCCACAGGGTCGTAGTGGAAGATCCGGTGCGTAGTCCTTTGGGCAAACATGTGTAGATGCTCCTGAGTCGATCAACAGGTGGTGGTATGACTTGAAGTTGGAGTACATGATGTAGTGGGTGATAGTGTCCTCAATCTTCTTGTTCCTTTGTTGTTGTCTTGCTGCTGCTATGTCGAAGTGTAGCTTTGTGGTGTCTTCTTGTAGGAATTGTTGAAAGCTCTTGCTGTGGTCGTTCCATGATGTTGTGTGTGTTGTTCTCTTGCCAAGTAGTGATTTGGATTTGTGCTTGTGTAGTCGTGATTTTGCTTGTCTGATGTGTCCAATGGTGAGGTGTGACTCGTTGATGCCTCCAATGTAGTTCGCTGTGTCCTCATAGCTGTTGTCATTCCAATCCCAGCTGTTGTCATAGTCGTAGTCGTTCCAGTTCTCCTCCATGTAGTTCACCTCGTGTTGTCCTTCTTCTCCTTCGTAGTACCAGTCCCAAGTGTCGTTCACATCCTGAGGTAGTTCATCATTGTTGTCGTGATCTGCTTGTTCTTGTTCTAGTGGATGTAGTTCTTCTCCTTCTCCTATGTGCCATACCGGCACTCTGCAGTCTTGTGCCCAGTGGCCGGGCTTGCCACATCGATGGCATGTTGTGTAGTTGTTGCTTCCTTTTCCTTTTGATTTGCTGTAGTTTCCTTGGCCTTTGTAGCCTTTGCTTGATCCATATCCTTTGGATCCTGAGTAGCCTTTTCCTTTGCTCTTGTTGTATCCTCCTTTGTTGTAGTTTCCTTTGCTGCCTTTGTCGAATCCTTTGTAGTGTCCTTTACTCCTGTACTTGCCTTTGCTCTTGCTTCCTTTGTAGCCGCCTTTTCCTTTTCCTTTGCCTTTGTAGCTTCTTCCTTTCCTCCATATGTTGTCAACATCCATTGGTGCAGTTCCTCCATTGTAGTTTGTTCCTACTGCTGAAGTAGATCTAGTGAAGGCTGAAATCGTTTTGTAGTAGTCCAGGATGAGTGCTCTGATCTCGATGTAGTTCGTGATCTGTCCAGCTCGCAGTTGGAGGTGTTGCTGCAGTGCTCCTTTGGTTTTGTTGAGTAGTATTGCTATTTTGATTCCATCTGGTAGTGCTGTTCCATTGTCTTTCTCGTAGCGGTTGATGTCGTATTCCCATTGTAGAAATTGTTCTTCAAACTGCGCTTCGTTGAATGTGGGTTCCAGTAGTTTGGTAAGGTAACCAACGCTCCTTGTTCCTACTGGTAGGCTGAACCTGTTGTGTAGTAGTCGTAGTGTTTCACATCCGTTTGCGTTGTAGCGGTTTTGCCTTACTACTGTAGCTGCTGCTCCCTGACAGATGTTGATGAGGATGTAGTGTAGATCTCTGGAGAGGTCTACTGCTTTGCTTGCTTGTGTAGGGTCGAGTATGTGTGTTCTGATGTCTGTGTCCTCAATCTGTCGTGTAGCCACTTGTGCTAGTTGTAGCACCAGGTCGAAGTCTCGGTCTATGAGGCCGAGGTATGCTTGTAGCTTGAACAGCCATTCTTCATACTGGGAGTAGTCACCAGTGAAGAAGGGTGGTGGCAGTTTGTATCTATGTAGTCTCTGAACGTCGTTGTCTTGTTCTGTTCCTGCTCCCGTAGTCGTGGCTCCTACTGTGTCTGCTGTTGGCCCGTTCTCTGCTCCTGTAGTTTGTTGTGCTGAGGCTGATGCTGCTTCTCCTGACATGTCGTAGTAGTTTGGCATGTAGCTGCTGTTGCTCTGTTGTTGTAGTACTTACTGCTTACTGGAGCTCCCCTATGTTTAGGATCTCAGCTCCGCTACCACGTTAAAATCGGTTGTTACTTTGCTTACAAGTGCAAGTGCTGTAGTGTTCAAACAAACAGTCAACCAATGTAGTCTGCAGCTGCCAACCTTTTGACTCATGCGGAGTAGTAAGCTCAAGGCCTGCGGTAGTGAACATACATGCAACAAGAGTGCAAAGTGAAGCATGTAGTTTGACATGGTTCTTTCTTTCTTTCTTTCTTTCTTTCTTTCTTTCTTTCTTTCTCTCTCTCTCTCTCTCTCTCTCTCTTTCTTTCTCTCTCTCTCTCTCTCTCTTTCTTTCTCTCTTTTCTCTCGCTCTCCAGCTTGACTGAAGAAAGCGAACATCTACGTCCCTGCGGTTTCTCTTGCTGCAACATCCGCCGCCTCAATTCATTCAATCCGGTCTATTCTCTTGAATTTCCACTTCCACATGCCAGTCTTCTCCACAGCACACCATTTCGTGTCACTCCACTTGATCTGGGCCACACTCACATTGTTGCGAATATGAGCACTGAATAGTTGACTTCAATTTCTGCAGTCTTTTTCATTTCGGCTGCGTAGGAACATCTCTTCCAGATGCACTCTGGCGATCAGCATACTGCAGTCAAGTCCAAGGCAGGGCAGCAGTCGCCTTGATTTTAAGGGCGGGGCCGAGGGGCTGCGGACAGGCATCCTCCTCCTTGGACGACGCAGACTGGCTTGGCGCATGTTTTGCTGTGCAAGTTGTCAAAGCGGACCTCGCCAGGCTTTTTCGCTTCACCTCGGACTCCAAGCCTGTTTTGGCCTTGGAGCTTTGTGTCTCAGGCTCCGAGAGAGGCGTTCCGTCCAGGCCACCTTCAAGACCCAGCCTGGTTTTGACTACACAGAGGGCATTCTGCGGTTGCAGGCAAGGAACAGCGGGGCAGTGACTTTGTGACTTGCACAGTGGCTATGAAAAGGCGTCCACCCTGTTCGAGTACCCAAAGTTGGTAGTCTGGAAGCACGTGGACAAGGCCACCGCATAGGCGAACAATGGCATTGGGCGGCGATCCTTGCAGGTGGTGTACACCCTGATCTGTGAGCCCTTGGACAATCCCTTGCTGGCCTCGAACTTCCTGACTCTCTTCGTTCATGAGGCCGAAGCTGACACTGACATTGCACGGCTGCCTTCGCGATGCCTCGTTTTCAGTTGAGCGACCACTTCCGTAAGGCGGGGTCCAGCTGTGATGCAGATCGGCAGATGTGCTTGGTTGGGTAGCTTGGTAGCTTCAGGCTGGGAACTTGGTGGAGGAGGTTTCTTCAAGACCCGACGAGATCTTCACAATTCTGGCGGCGACCTCAGTGACCTCGTGTTGCTTGGCTGATTGGCGCATGTGACGCACATGGCCCAGAACTCCATGCTGCCTGGTGGGCAGCTTCTCTTCATTAACTCCAACCTGCACAGACATTTGAAGGCTCAGATCTCGCAGGCACTGAGCACTAGGCAGTCGGCAGTGTCTCTTCAGTCCTTGCTCAATGCAAAGCTTCAGCTGCAAGAGGTGCTGACCCAGAAGTGAGCGGCCTGCTTTGGTAGCCCCTGGTCCCGCGCCTTCGCGGGAGAAAGTGTCGGGTCAGCCAGCAGACACTGCGAGCTGAGACTCTCAACTGCCAGGCCACAGGTCTCTCGTGGTCTCGTGGCTCTCGAGTCACGTTGGCTGCCAGGCCATCCAGATGGCCCGCGTCTCCAAGATGAAGCGGCAGCGCATCTTTTGGCTGCGCCGAATGGAGACGCTGTCCAAGCCATCCGCCCCAGCAAAGCCGCCCCAGCCCCAGCCCCGAACTGCGGTCGCGAGGCTCGTGGTGTCCTCCGAGAACTTGGAGGAGGCCTTTGCGCCGGAGGCGGGCGAACTTTTGGATTCAGAGATGCCATGCCGTGGCTCAGGTCCACATGGGAGTCACGGCCAGCTCGTTTGCCCAGCCTGTTTTCCAGCGAACGGGAGAGACGGCCCAGCTGCCCTGCCCAGCTGCCCAGCTGCCCAGCTGCCAGGGGGGTGCTCCTGAGCCGGAACGTGTCCATCCCCTACCTCCTGCGGCAGTTCGGGGGTTCCAAGACCGACCCACCACAGAAGAACCGGCGCATCCCCGGCATCGACAACATCCAGCGCGAGGCAGAGAACGGGTGGTAGTGATCTCTGTGCAAGTTCACACTGCAAGTTTCTCTGCTTCTTTGCTCTCTGCAAGTTTCTCTACGCAAGTTCTCCATGCTCCTGCAAGTTGCTCTGTGCAAGTTGCTCAAATCAAGCAGTGCCAAGAGTTGCAAATGTATCATTGAAGAGGACATATCGGCCCAATACCCGTATCTAAGCCACTCCAGTTTTTGCACATCGACAATGCCGATCCCCCCAGATTGAAAGTCAGTTTTTGGACATCGGCCATGCCAAGCCCCGGAAAGGGTCGCGCGCGCGGCGCAAGTCCTCACTTGCACAGAGGGGGTCGCGGAAGAAATTTGACAACTCCACAGTTTTTGGACATGGACCACGCCGATCCCTCAAGTCATGTTTGCACGATGGGTTTGGTCCCCTCGCGCGCAAGTTTTCTCGCGCGTGCTTGTGCCAGTTTACTCCTGCGGGTGTGCTTGTGCGAGTTGGAGGCATTTTTTTCCGGAAGAACCCTTCGCGCTGTTCGGGAACCCTACGAAAGCCCTTGGAGCACTAGTAAATTTTCCAGGGTTGTATCCAATGCCGGGTCCCTCGTCATTTGCTTGGTTGTGTGGCTCTTTTGCTTGGTTGTGTGGCTCTTTGAAACACACTCAAGCACATTAGATGTCTTGCAGGTCTTGCAGATGTCCTACGAGATCCTCGGAGAGGACGTGAAGGAAAAGAGCCCACAGCTATGCCGCCCATGCTGAATGAGGACGAAGAGAGGTTCGAGTCCGCTCCTGAAGCGAGCTGGCAGACGCGTGCCCAACAGCACCAAGCTCAATTGAAGGATCGTGAAACGACTTGTGGCTGGGGGTGCCTGAGGCTCTATTCTGACAGCATTTTCGACAGAGAGCAGAAGATGGCCCTCCTCAATCAAAAGATCCGCATCCTGCAGGATATGCCCGGAGCCTTCTGAGCCTCAAAACAGATCAGATTCCATTCTCTGAAGCGCAGCTTCAGGCAAGAACCAGCCGCTGATCCATCGCAACAGACCATCAGACAGAAGCCCCACGGCGGAAAGAAAGCCTCACAAAGGGGACTTGCCACATGCAACGCGACGTGGAATTGTCAGTTCTTCGCCGTCCCATCCGTCCCCGACAAATGTAGCGCTTTTATTTGCCAACGATGAGGTAACGTGAACATGAGTGAGCCGTTAGCAGAAGATGCATACGTTGAGTCGTAGCATCGTAGCATACAAGACAGTGCAGTCTTCGAGAGAGCTGTAGAAGCACTATATTCAATTCAGGCATGCTTTGACTCTTGTGCCCTGTGTTCTCGTAGAAGATGAGCCAGTTGCAGGTTGATAGATGAGTTGATGATTGTGAAGGCGGCGGAGGAGGAGAAGGAGAAGGCCCAGAGAAGGAAGGCGGGGATGCTTGGGATGCGCGCGTCTCCGCTTCACCGGTCTTCGGGTCTTCGGGTCTTCGGGGTCGAAGTTCCGAGGAGCTGAGTGACGCGCTTCGTGGGAAAGACCCGAAAGGTCTGGACCTATATGAGCCCGGAGCTTCGGAGAAAATGATTGAAAATCATGCAAGTGGAATCGGCTCTGATGGTTTGTATCTGGAAGGAAGACTTGCGCTGGGCTCGAAGGGATGCATGGAGCAAAGGTCTCCATGCTGGCCGGCGCAGATTAGCGCAGGATGAGCATCGCATTCGCGGAGCCTTCCAGATTGTCAGCTGGCTTTTACCAGAGCCTGGTCCTTAGCAACGAAGTGGAAGAGGCCGGTGATGGAGAGAGGCCATCAAGCTGCGTCTACAGCTTCGGCAGCAATCGGAACTCGCTGCAAGCCGTGTGCAGACCGGGTGTCCCTGGCAACGCACCGAGTGCGGGACGTGCGGGAGGCCCCAGTCCAAGTGCAGCGAGGAGGGATGGGGAAGGGGCGTTTGTGGCGGAGCCGACAGCGCTGGACTTAGAGAACGTGGTGAACGTGGTGCAGGTGAGCTGCGGCGGCAACCACAGCTGTGTGTTGGAGAAGCGGCCCGGGGAGGAGGGTGGCCAAGTCTGGACCTGGGGCCTTGGCAACGGGGGCCGGCTGGGGGTCAAACGGCCTCGCAAGGCCTCGGAGGTCCAGGCCCTGCTGAAGAACTCGAAGAACTTTGATGCGCTCCTTGCTGACAAGGCCTACGTGCAGTGGCTGACCTCCGACGGCAAGTGGAGCTTGCACACGCCGGTCAAGCTCCAGTTTGGAACTGACCGGATTGCATCCATCAGCGCTGGAACCGACTACACCCTGGCGTTGACTGAGAACGGGGCAATCTATGCATGGGGTATTGGCAGCTATGGGAACCTTGGCACTGGACTTATTTGCGACCAGTGGACGCCAGCTTTAGTCCAGATGCCAGAGAACGTGCGGTGCTGCCAAGTGGCAGCTGGAACCAAGCACTCCATGGCCCTCACCACTGCAGGCAGCAGACTAGCTTGTGCCTTTGGACGTGTTCCATCTGCGCATTTGCTTCGAAGCTTCGTGCGAGCTCGCCGTGTCTCGCATGTTTCGCAGGCGAGATGTTCTCCTGGGGCCACGGTGGCCACGGGCGCTTGGGCCACGGCCCAGCCTGTGAGGCCGCGCTGCGACCCACCCGGATCCAGGTGGGTGCCAAAGAGCCGTCGAGTCAGGAGAAAAAGGATGCCCAAAAAAACAAAAGGAGAGGAATTTTCAAGAGTTTTGAGAAGTTTTCAAGAGTTTTGAGAGGTGGAGAAGGATCCGCGGTTCAAGTTCGTGGCTGTGGGCGAGGCGCACTCCGCGTGCATCGACGCCTTGGGCTCCTCGGTGTGGTGCTGGGGCGCAGGCTCCTTTGGGCGATGTGGCCACGGGGAGGAGGCGGACAACATGTACCCGAAACAGGCCGGGGCCTGGGATGATGGGAACCCGAGAACGACATTTCAGAAAGTGACATTTGTGGCACAAAACGAATGACATGTGTGACAATGCGGAAGTTGGTTTCTTCGCGCTGACTCAGGTGAGCTCTATGATCGGGAAGAGCTGCAGCCAAGTGGCGCTGGGTGTGTGCCACAGCCTGGCGCTGGTGCGTGGGAGCGTGTGGAGCTGGGGCGGGTTTTTGTACACCGGGCATGGGGAGAATGACGACATCGAGACGGCGCGGGTGTTGGAGGACGAGACCCTGGGGCATTCGGGGCGCATCGTGGAGGTGGCCGCAGGCCGGTTCCACTCGCTGGCGCTGAGCGCCACGGGGGAAGTCTTCAGCTGGGGCTCTGGCAGCCTGGGCCGCCTGGGCCACCCTCACTTGGAGGCCCAGACGGTGCCGCTCCAAATCTTCAAAAGAGACTCAAGAGACGCCAGAGACGCCAGAGACTCAAAGGCCCTCATAGGCTGGGTCCCAGCTGAAAGGAGTCTGCAAGAGGAGGCCGTCTGCCGGGCGGAGCTACAGCTGGCCTGCGGCGGCATGCACTCGGCGGCAGTGTCCTCGGATGGGTCCTGCTGGCTCTGGGGCCACGGGGAGTATGGGCAGAATGCCTCCAATGACGACTTGTGGAAGCCATCGCTCCTATCGGCCATCGACCCCATCTCCCGATCCAAGATCAAGGTCTGGGCTTCAGGGCTTCGCGTCGCATAAGTTAATCGTATCCCTGGAACGCAAGTGTTTCATTGAAGCAAGCCCCGCAAGCAGAAAGCAAACAACTCAGCTGGATCGCCCAGGTGCTGCGCGTGGCGCTGGGCATGGAGCACTCTTTGTTGATCTCCACCACCTTGGAGCTCTACTCGTGGGGCCGCAACCACCGGGGCCAGCTGGGTTTGGGCACCACCACCGACACCAGCGAGCCCACCTTCGTGGCCGCCTTGTCCAAGGCCAGTGCCGTGGCCGCTGGAGAGGACCACTCCGCCGCCATCACCCCAGGCGGATTCGGAATTCAACCCCAAAAACTGATGCGATCTGTTGTCGGAATCTATCAAGGAGAGTCAGGTCAAGTGTTCGTGGTTGGGACTCAGAAGCGAACGGTGTTGGCACTAAGGCTCCCCTGCCAACCTGCTTGTGCCATTGGCGTCTTTGGCCCGAGCATCGAAGTGATAGTTTGTGTTTTTGTGTTCTGCTTTGGGATCTTTCATTTTTTTTCCCGAGCACACCCGGGACCCGACTCGTGAGGCGGGGAGGTGTACACGTGGGGGAATGCGGAGTGCGGGAAGCTGGGCCACGGGTCCAGCATGATCCGCAGCGCCATGAGCTTTCCCAAGCAGATCAACCTCGAGGCACGCGTGCGGAAGGTGAGCTGTGGGCCGACCCACACCGCGCTGATCGGCAACAACGGGGAGCTCTTCACCTGCGGCGCTGGTTGGTTTGGCAGGCTGGGCCATGGGGACATGGACAACCAGTACTCTCCAAAGCAGGTGGACAAGGTCTTGGTGGAGGAGTCCCTGAAGGAATGCCCCCGCTTTCTCGAGGTCACCTGTGGATCCTTCCACACCTGTGCTCTGTGCGAAGGCTCCAGACTGTGGGTCTTTGGCCGAGACTACCTGGTTTGTGAGGCCGACCACATCAACTCCCCGCTGCTCTTCAAGCATATTGAGGGGGAGATCGTGTCCGTGGTGGCGGGGGCCAACCACACGTTGTGCATCACCCGCCAAGGCCGGCTCTGGGGCTGGGGCGACAACAGCAAGGGTCAGCTGGGCATCGGAAGTGCTGAGAAGGCCACCGCCACCGTGGTGCCCTTCAAAGGCCAGCTGCAGGCGGTGTCTTGTGGCTATGCCCACTCCATGGCCATCACCAATGGCGAGGTCTGGGCCTGGGGCCTCCAAAGCGGCGGACGCCTGGCCCTGAAGAGCCCTGTGAACACCAAGGTCTGCCTGGTGCCACAACGGGTCCTTGCCCCATGGAAGGAAAGTCGCAAGTGAGGTCCAAAGTGACCAGTGTCGTTTCACCCGGATGCAGAAAACAACTTGTGCTTCAGTGCATTTGATTTGTGAGGGGCTGTTGATGCTCGCCGCTTCCAGGCTCCAGGTAATGCAGTTGAGACACCAGGCTTCGGCATGCAGATGCCATTCAACTTGTCAACTTGTACCTGTGGACATTGTCATCGTGCCTGAGAGCTCGAGCGAACTTCAAAAATCACGCCTTGCAGCCAATGCTTTCACCGCATGCTTTTTGGCCATGACTTTTGGCCCGCCACTTGGCTTGATGAACAGGCGTCTTTCTTGAGCTTGTATTGACATTGCTTGAATGTGTCTGCTATGTGTCACTGCTTCATGGAAAAGCCGCAGCGTTCACAGCTTCCATAAAAGTATGAACATATTCAATGCGTCAGATTCTTTGTTAGCGGTCCCCACGCGACGTAAACGCTTGTTTCACGAGTTTGAGCCAATTTTGCTTCATGTGGCCTACCTGCGGAGAATTTTTGGTCAGTTTTTTGCTTGCAAGCCATAGCAGTCAAGTGCAGAAGGTGATGGTGATGCACATGACGAGGGCGATTGCCGATGAGAAAACAAGCGGAAAACATTCCCTTTGCAAAGACACTAGCGCCACTTTTGAGTTCTATATAAACACGTAGTGAAAAGCTGGGCGACTGTATCGTTGATCCGGTTGAGCATCACGCTTAGCACATGCCCGGGATCACCAATGCTCGAAGCTGCCAAAAACACCAGTCGCAAAGAAGACAAACGCGGGCTTCGAACCCGAACGTGCTCCAACGTCACGCTTGGATCTATGTATGAAAGAGGTAGGATCAGCAACGTCTCCCAGCAGGGCAATGGCGATGAGGATCCAGCCAAAGGGGATTCCAAAACAACCTGCAAGCAAAGAGGATTCGTGCCTCGAAGCAGTCTCATCATCAATGGTGGTGGTGATGGTCATGATGATGATGATGATGATGATGATGATGATGATGATGATGATGATGATGATGATGATGACAGTCGATGGCAAGCCGTGGCACCCTTCCCATGCACCTCCCCTTCCGAGAAGGAGTCGGCGGACTTGGACTCCGAGTTGCCTGGGTCACTTGACACCTGAGCCATGGTCTCCCACTGACAGGACAGCAAGCGTAGACCGGCCTGAGCAACGGCAACCAGATGCGCACTCCAACCCATGCACCCCGAAGTTGCCAGACAAGGTGAATTCTGCCCCCTTTGTTCAGGGACAGCGCCCATGCCTCAGCAATGAGGTCTTTACCTAAACGACCCAAACTGACCTGAGGCATCCGCTTGAAGAAAGGCGAAGTAAATTACCAGCTGCTTGGGCCGCTTGGTTGCTTCCGCATGATTTGCTGTGTGGCCTTGCTTGCCTTCCGTTTGCCTCATCCGCTTGCAGCTTTCGTTGTGAGGCCACCGACAGCACCGGTGGTGCTTTGCTTGCATGGCCTCAATGGTGCCTTGTCCAGCTTTGAGGGCCTGATGCACAGGACTCAGAGAGGGAGAGAGAGAGAGCGCGATTGAGAGCGAGCGCAGTTTGAGGGCTTTGGCTTTTTGCTTAGCGAGGCCCTTGCTGGTGCAAAGCTTCCGAGTGCTGTGCTTTGATTTGTGCCCTTCAGCCCTTCGACTGTGCCCGTCCCGGCGTCCCGGCGTGCTGGCATCCCGGCGTTCGGGGCGTGGCTGCAAAGGTACGGGTTTGGACTCAGCGCTGCGCCTTCGGGGCGCTTGGACATCGACGCCTACGTGGGCCAGGCATGCGAGCTGCAGATGCCAAGCTTGTTTCTGAACACGCGATGCGTGCAGACGGCTGTGGCGCCTGCGTCAGGTGCAAGAACTCCTCGATGCCTTGATGCCCAATGAGAAGGCCAGATCACAAGCACTTGGCTCGCGTGCCCAGCGCGCCAGAATCGCCCCGGCCCAGTTGCTTTGGCTTTTTTGAGTGTAGTCTGAACGTCTGCAAATGTTTGGAAATCGCACAGAGCCGTCCCAGCATGGCTGAGTTGGCAGTGGACCACTTGGTTTGGTGCGCAGCAACATTGCAGGAGGGCATGGATGCCTTCGAGGAGCTGTCTGGTGTGAAACCCTGCGTTGGGGGGCAGCACCAGGGTCTCGGCACACACAACGCCTTGGTGTCCTTGGGCGAGGGCGTGTACTTAGAGATCTTGGCGAAGGATCCAGCGCAGGAGGTGGAGCCGAAGTGGATCGGCATCGACTGCCCGCGGAAGCCGTGTCTGGCGAGCTGGTGTGCACGCGCCCCGCCAGGGCCTGGGAATCTGGAGGCGATGGCTGCCCGAGCGGCGGAGGCGGGATACGACCCGGGCCCGGCGACCAGCTTCTCGCGGCAGAACACCAAGGGGGAGACGCTGAAGTGGCGCCTGGCCTGCGAAGGCTTCCGCGCCGGGCACGCGGCGCTGCCCTTTGGCGGCGTGGTGCCCTTCGTGGTGGACTGGTCGGTGAATCCTTTGGCGCACCCCGCGGAGATCGCGCCCTCCGGGTGCCGCCTGCTGCAGCTCCGCGCTTGGCACCCGGACGTGGAGGCCGCGTCGCGGGCCTTGAGCGCGCTGGGGGCGTCGCTCGCTCTCGAGCCTGGGGAGCCGCGCCTGGAGGCAGTGCTTGAGACCCCAAAGGGTACCATTCGGCTCTGAGCGCTCGGGCTTACCTAGGTGAAACAAAAGAGACAGCTCCGAGCGAAATGCGAGGGCAATTTTGTTGCCTATGCCGCTTTCGCATCGAAGTATCCCAGTATTTGCATGCAGGCCCAGAGTGCTCATTTCTTTGCTTAAACAAACGCTGACGCTGAACCCTGTCCATCATGGGGGTGGGCCCTTAGGCTGGTTTCCCACCAGCCTGGAAGGTCATTTTATCCGACTCAAACGACCCAAAGGCTCTCTACTTTGGGCAAGCTGGCAGCACGGGCAACTTTGGCCAAACATCGCAAAAGAAGGGGCAAATCCAAAACAGGCTTGGCACACGCAAGATATGGCTCACGGAGATTTCCTCAAATGCACGAGCGATTCAGGACAAGTTTGCACAAGCATACTTTGCCAAACCTTTGGCTGGTTTTAAGAAGGCAAAGGTTGTCTCCGCATTGTCATTGTATTAGACGGCTTTGGTTTTTTTAATGGTACCTTGGGCATATCATTTTAATAGCTTTTGTTGCTGCACCAAGTACTGTTCATGAGTGCATTGCCGGCGTAGCAAATATTTACATTTCGTGCAGGGCTGCGTTTACAGCACATTGTGCACAGGTGTTCCTCCTCGGTTTCAGCATGGGCTGCTCGGCTTTGTGCAGATTGATGGGCAATGCTTGGCGGTGATACCCAGAGCTCCAGGCGGCTGTGTGGCCGTGGAGTTCACGAATCGCTTCCCGGAAAGGTGCGTGGAAGCCGCATGGCAAGAGCAAGGCAGCCGCATGGCTTGTGGCCAGGGTAGAGCGACTGCTGCTGGTGGCTCCTGGTGGACTGCTGCAGAGGCCCAGATGTGGACTGACTGAGGGACTCGCAAGGATTCGCAAGCTGTCAGGTCGAAGACCCCCTGCCAGCCACTGCTCTTTGGCTGCCTGCGAACACGGCTTGGAGGCAAGGAGACCTATGGGAGAAACAAAACGAGCACATGTGGGTATTGTTCGGGATGATGATATGGGTATTTTTTGCTCCCTCAACCAGTCTCCCAGGCTGCCTGCTCTCTGCAGCCACGCTGTTGGCTTGCTGCTCCAGCTGCGTTGCCCTTAGGCCCTCACGCTGCTAGCACTTCTCAGTTTCCAAAGCTTCTACTTTCATGTTTCTTCCATTCTTTCTTTCTTTCTTCGGCCATCCCCGGCATCGCGTTCCATTGAGGCTGCGTGAGGCGCAACCTTCGCGGGGACAAGCTGGCCGATCGCTTTGAGGCTTGGAGTGTGAGAGCAATCGTGTGGTTGAGACCGAATTGGAATGTTTGGCATGGCCAGAATCATAGGCCCCATAGACCCTGTTCCATCAGCTTTGTCACTTTGACCAGGGCACATGTCCCATGGATTCCTCAGCTGTAGCCTGCAAAGTCGACCGCCAGCTGGATGTGCGAGAGCCAGAGAAGTTCAAGGGCGTCAGCCGTCAGAATGGCTCCTTGGCAGACATGGTCCCAAAGTACACGCGAGACTCATGGATTGCCATTCTTGACTATGTCCGAGTATGGGAACACGGGAGGCTTTGGATTTGTTCATTGATTTCTTCCTGAAGCACTTCACCAAGCAATCGACGTGAAAACATGGTTGAAGCATCAGCCAGTCATCCCTGCTCTTTGGCTCTCTTCAGGCTTGAGGGAATGGGTGCTACCCCGCAAGCTACAACACACAACAACCACTCACGACAACGTTGACTTGACGTTAGGGGCGCTGGCACACTCCAGCACAATTTCAAAGTAGGAACATTGCCCGAACTTGGTTGGATGCTTCATGATCTCATACTCGAGGAGATGTTTCGTTCAACATGTCGATTGTGTCGTTGTCACTGGCCCACTACGCCAGCACCAACATGTTTTATCCAGTGAAGTGGCCAAGAGCCGGGACGAGGAGGGCCCTGGCCTGGCCACACTCAGGCTCGTGCAACCGAGAGTGGGCATCAGACAACATTTGGACTATGGGCAAAGATGTGCGGGTGCACACACAGCAATATCATGCAATATCGCGTTGCTGTCTTGTTCGCTGAGGTGAGCGCTTCCTGTGGAACTTGCACCGCTCTGCTGTACCGGCATGTTCACCCTTTGGCTTGATTCAGCGTGGAGCAGACAGGTGAATTCGTACTTGCGAGTTTTGCGGCGCATGCCACTGTGGGCCGACGACTTCAAGGAGCCTCGCAAGTCATTCATGGCGCCTACCCTCACGGGCGCATCACTCGCATGACAGGAGTGCTACGTAACCCTCGCCAAGGGAAGCACGCCTCTTCTTTTTCTTTGGGGTGACAGTCTCTTGCTCACACCTGCTTGGCCTAGCACCTGGAACCTCCCCTTTCCCAGGTGACTGCACTGTGCCTTTCTGCGAGGCCGAAGAGGAGGCTGGATTCGAGCACTCGAATCTCGTGGCTTGCTTGCCGTGCTTGTTTGCAAGGTCAGGCAGATCTTCGCACCGAACGGGGTGTCCTGCTGCATGCTGCCAGAAGCAGGGCACGGTTTGCTGCTTGAGGACGGAGAATTGGACCACGGACTGCAATCGGGCCGCTTCCGGTTCAGGATGCGGCCCAAGTAGCACATTGTGCCACAGCCTGGTTCAGCGTCAGCCCCTTAGGCATTTGGATGTTGGACCTTGTGTTCCGTGTTCTCTTGTGTCACTCGTGTCACTCGTGTCATTCGTGTTTGTTCAGGATTTGCAGGATCCCGCGTGGCAGCAGTGCTTGGCTCGCTGGAGGCAAGCTGCATCTCGTGAGACGGGCGCCGCTCCGTGCTCTAAGGCTGCGAAGCCCAGATGCTCCAGCTGACCCCGGTGCCGTTTAGCAGTTTAGCAGTTTCGCGGTGCGCGCAGGACGCGCTATGGCATAGGCGGAACAGCTTGCCGCGGATTTACCCAACAGCGACGGGGTGTCCGGAGTTGGCTCTAGGATTTCATGACAAAAGTCATGATCTGAATCTAATTCGGCTGCCCGAACAATGGGCAAGTCAAACCGTAGTACAATTGGCCTTTCCAAATGCAAAGTCGCTCTTACCTTGCCAGATGCAGCCGGGTATAGCAGTAGCATATTGCCATTTTGAGCTGCTTGGTTCAAAACACTCGGCGCCATGTCGACCAACGGCAACGCCATGTCCACCAAAGACTGGATACTAAAGTGCTGCTCGCATTTTCAGGGGCGAAACCCAGCGAGCGTTGTAGCTAAGGAATTTCCTGATCCTTGGCCTTTTGGCAGTGGCTTGGCCAAGCTTGACCAAGCTTGGTTGTTCAGCTTGGCGGGTTGGACTGTGGCAATCAAGGTCATCACATTTGGCCTGCTATGCCCTGCACCAGGCCAGCCTGCACACATTTACAGACGGAGCTAAACAGGAGATAGACGGCAAACAGGAGAGACAAGATTGCACGGGGTTGGGTGTGCAGGCGAAGCCTTGGATGAGATTCAGTTCGGCACCTTCCGCTTACCCCAGGCGAAGGGCTCCCTCTCGGGCGCTTCCGGCGTTCACTCACCTCATGGGTCTCGGCGTAGGTCGCTGTGATCGTGATTTTCGTGGTGAGCGGCCTATGCTTGGACTCCATCTCAGAGTGCCTGCAGTACAAGGCGGGATGTGCGATGCGCTTGCCCGTTTGGGAAATGGCCGCCATGGCCGGCATTGCCTTTGCGATTTTCAGTTGCACCTTGTGCATGGCAGGCCTTAGCGCTGTCCATTTTTCTGGTGCTTGGCGTGACACCGCTCCTGGCATGGCCGATTTTGCATTTTGGGTGCAGAGCTCAGCGAAGGGCGCCGGCGCACCAATGAATCAACGGTATGCGGTGCGCATCAGTTGCATCGGGGCGGTTGCAAGGCAAGGCTATGCCAATGAGACCTTGCTCCAGGTGCTTGCTCACGTCTGTTGACTCTTGCCCGCTTGCCCGCTTGCCCGCTTGCCCGCTTGCCTCGCCTCAGCCCAGGGCCTGGCAGTTTTCTGTGTGGTTCCGACCACCCTCTCATCTGGCGTTACCATGGTGACTCAAGCAAAGGCCTTTGTGACATCGTGCCAGCAGTGGCAAAAGTGGCAAGAGTGGCAAGAGTGGCACAGGGCAATGTGTCGCTGGCCGTCCTGCTGACCACTATCACGAATCTGATGGGCTGCTGCCTGAGCGAGGAGCGAGGAGCGAGGAGGGAGGAGCGAAGAGCGAAGAGTGAAGTGGAGAGTCTGAGAAAAGCCAAAGGTGTGGGGACGATGCCGTGGTCGGTGTCCAAGATCTTCGCGGCCTCGGTGGAGATCAAGCCTTCGCAAATGCTATTCGAGCTGTTGTGGTCTGCCTGGCAAGTGGCAAGCCGACTGGATCCCGGAATGCCGGGATCCCGGAACGCCGGGATGCCGGGATGACGTGCTGGCCAGGCTGACTCTGGTGCCCTTGGTGGTCGGAATGGGACTCCGTGAGGACTCCAAGCCACGATTCCGTTTCCAATGCTTTGATCTTTATTGCCTGGTGAATGCTTGAGGGGCAAATTATGGTCTCGCAGGTTTTTCCAGTAGCCAAGTCCTTTGCCAAGACCAACAAGAAAGTTCTTGGGCTTTGCCAGAACAGGTGGGCCTTGAAGTCAGCGATTGAGCCCAAGTGAAGTTTGGCCAGTTGCATCCTTCTGGTGGTGCTGCTGATGACCTCCAGTGCGCAGCCCCAGATCGTGACCACGGATGCCGCCCACTCAGATCTCGTTCAGCCTTTTGCAGCGATGGCAGCCATGGGCCTTGGAATTGACCAAGTCCTCGGACCTGTCGGTCGCCCTGGCCATTGCGGCCGGCATCCACCTGGTATACCGGGTGGTGGGCGTGGCCCTCTGACATTTCATTTGGGGCCGTGGGCTTGCCATGGGCTTGCTCGTTACGGGCTGGAGGGAGTTGTGGAGGGAGTTGTGGAGGGGGGCTTGTGGCCTCAGGCTACTTTTCGGCGACCGCTGCCATGCTGGAGCCACGAGAATGGGCATGCAGCCTATTTGCCCGACACAGTGGCCGCGAGAGATCCTTGCACGTGAGGTCACGGTGGTTCTGATGTCTAGCCAAAAGTCTTTGCCAGTGTGTGCCAAGCTCTCAGAGAGCATCCAATGCAAAGATGCCGCAGCTGCCCCATCCCCATCACTTGCTTCGGCCTTGGGCGCCCCTGCACTGCCCAAAGGTCTCTGTGATGTCTGCACTGCCTCCAAGCCTCCGCAAGCACTCGGGGTCTGGTGCTCATTGCTGACCTGTCGATGCCGAATACCGAATGCATTCCGAATGCGTGCCGAACACAGGAGAAAGCACCAGGCTGAGATGCCGTGAGCGGAGATGCCGTGAGGCTCATGATCGTGCCCTGCATCATGGCCCATGCATCCCAGCTGATCATCGACTCTATCTTGGCTGTTCGCGGCAGACTCAGACAGAAGTGAGAGAGAGGGGGGGAGAGAGATCTCTGAGACTGTCGCTTATTGGTCGCTGGCAGGGTGGGAGGTCATGGAAGAGAAGAAGGCCACCAGTCTGCTTGAACTCGCTGGTTGCCACACCTTGCCAGGCTCCGCTCCTGGGCGCATGATGCATCCTGGACTGCCTTTGAGAAGGCCAAGTGATACCGGCACCTGGACGGATCGCTTTTTGGCTGACACGCACAGACGAATTTTCAGTTTTTCCGATTTTCCGCCGGCGTTCAGGCCGAAACTCGCAGACTGCATACACGATCAAAGAGCGGCAGGTGGCAGGGAACAACGATGACAGGAGCCAATGTCCCCAGTCCTTCATTTTTTTGGATATTTGAACACAAACTCACCCTTCTTTGTGCTTCCTAATTGTCTGGTCTTACCTGAACAAAGCTCCCTTGAGAAGATTACATTCCTGCAAGGAAAGGCACAACCCAAAAAACCTTGAAAAGAAACAAGAGGGGAATGCTTTGGACATGCCCAATACCTTCTGTCGGGGGAATTGTTTCTTGTTTTTGCTTTTGGTTTTCCTCCAGTTTTTTTGGTTTCTCAGATTTCGCAATTCTCCCTGTACATCTCTCCCTTGCAAAAGCTTTCTCATGGCATCTGATGCTGCTAAGGAATTGCAGCTTTCCTTGTAAGGCAGGGCACTTGCAGGCAGACATTGCAATCCACAAATCAGTGGAAAGGGTGGTTGTTTTCTGGAGAGGGCAGTGCCCCGAGCACTTTTTTTCATTTTTCAAGCAGCGTTGAGCCATTTGTCCGAATAGTGGCAAACACATTTGCTAGGATATTGGATTCTTGTAGCTTGACAAGTGCTAATACAGTTTTATTATTAGCCGCACAATTCTAAAACCAGGCTTGAAATACGCTAGCCATGCAATATTGGGAACCGAGCTGGGAAGACAATCAAGGTAAGCCAAACATGCGTGTTTAACATGTACTTTAGATGTGCTAGAAAGTATAATGCGATTATGGAAAATCTATGCTGCACAAGTAGACTAGAAGCCAGATGGCAACGCCATGTAGCTAAAAAGACATGCTAGAGATACAATAGGAAATGCAGTAGACGCAGAAACTCATGGACATATACACTATATATAGTGGATATGCGCTGGGCATGTTCTGAAACAATCTGCGACAGCAGACACAATGCGAGAGCTCCTGTAAACAGCCCTTAAATTTGCCTCTTGCCCATCATTGACACAAAGAAGGATTAAAGCGAACCACATGACCGGTGGCTTTCTTCTTGCCACAGCTGCCTCTTGGTCAAATTCTTCACTGGGGTACAACGTGAGGCCCCTTACTTTGGGATTTCTTGAATGGCATTGGTATGATACAATGTAACAAGCATGCTTGACGTCGACTTGACCAAGCTTCGCAATGAACTGGACTCGATCGGATTTGGCCTCCAGGAAAGGGGAGCTGGGCATTCTAGGCGTTCCGTATCACACAAATCCCGTACCGGGTCGTTCCCTGGGCGCAAGTGCAGCGGATGTACCATATTCCCATTTTGGCGATGTACCTTTAATCTATTTAAGGGTATGTGTCCCAACAAACAATGTGGTTTTCCAGTAGGGATCTGGTCTTTGAGAAGCGCCCGGCATTTGTCGTTTGTTATTTTGCTTCAATTATCCATGATACTTCTCCATTGGAGTCAATTTCCAGCAAATCAAGCCCGCCACAGTTTTTTTGCGAGTTGTCCACTTGATCCAAACATTGGCACATGACTATACACCTGTTTTGTTGACATATTTCAGTAATTCCACCAGTGCTTCTGTAGTCTTCTCGTAGTCTTCCCGTAGTCTTCCCGTAGTCTTCCCGTAGTCTTCCCGTAGTCTTCCCGTAGTCTTCCCGTAGTCTTCCCATAGTCTTCCCGTAGTCTTCCCGTATTTTCCCGTAGTCTTGCCGCAGTTGTCCAGGCTGATCCAGAATGCAATAAGCCAAGACCATTTTCGAATAGGACATTCATGGTTATAGGAAAACTTCCGAAGAAGCAGATTGAAGTTGGAAGGATGCTAAGCCTTCCGTTTTTTTCTCGCTTGCAAGCCACATCCTGTGGCTCAGCTCTCTCTCCTGGCGTTCTTTTCGTGGTCCTTCTATTGGGCTCCCTCGCCACCCTGTCTGCCTGGTCGGCCTGTTCACTGCTCTTGTTTATAGACACACATTTTGAGTCGTACGGCGAAGAAAACTATTCTCCAGTGCCTATATCAATATAGACACTGGAGGAATAGCGTTTTGCGCAAAAACCGTGCAAAAGCTATTAGTCCAGTGTCTACATTTTGTAGCGCAAAACCGTGCAAAACAAGCTATTCTTGTAGTCCGTATCTATATACGGACAAGAAGAATAGCTTTTTTTGCAGCATTTTGTTGCCAAAAACCGTGCAAAACCGTCAAAACGAGCAAGCCCAGGGCCTACATTTGCGTAGGCCCTGGGCTAATAGCATTTTGCAGCTCAAAACAGTGCAAAAAAACTCTCCCCCAGGAGAGGGTTTTTTATTTTTTTTTAAGCAGCCTCAATGTCTCGCGCCAGCTGGTCAAAGCTGGGCGGAGGCAGACTCCGGCGTGACTGCCCGGAGCTCGCCCGCGAGCTCGGCTGAGACTGGGGCAGGGCCACAGGGTTCAGGCCCCAGGAGAAGGGGCGCGGCGTGTTGCACTGCGCCTGACACGGAAGCCGGACTACGAGGAGGCGCGGCTGCTTGCGGGGCTGCTCCTCCTGTCTCTGCCCCTGACGTTGGTCTGTTGTTTGCCATCGGCGGGCCATGAGTGACAGAGACCTGGCAGTAGATGTTGATAGGTAGTGGCATTCCGACATGATACTGGCTCAAGAAAAATTGACTGCCGCCCGTGCTGACATTTAGGTAGATTCCAGCTTTCAACAGGTTATCAGCCGTATCGCTGGCACCTTGCACAGTCAGCTCTCACCAGCGCCGCAATGGCGTCAAGCGGCGACGGATGCCACCCTGCCATACAAGTTGGGCCTCGGAACATGGGAGAATTATAACTTTCTTAGGCAACTTACAATTCCGCTATGTCGAGTTATAAGAAGGGTTAACCCTTCCAAGTAGGCGGCCAAGTCCCGTAAGTTCCCAATAAGTTTTGAAGAGTTGGCGGACTTGGGAGTCACTTGGCGGTGTTATAACTTTCCCGTATGTTCGTGTTACAATTCACAGAAAACTTACGGAAAACTTACGGAACACTTACGGAAAACTTAGAGAACATACGGAAATCTTACGGAAAACTTACGGGGAGCGTACTTGAGGCGCCAAACGGACAGCTTGGGCGGGCAAGCGCTACCGAAATCGCTGCATCTCCCTTTCCTTGGCTCAAGGTTTTGACTCACTTCGCAAACAAACTTGCCGCCGCCATGAATGCGGAGACCCTGAAGCTCGCCCTCCAGGAGCGGGACTTATCGCCCCTAGAGCTGGGGCAGCTGGAGGCTGGTGTGGAAAGCTTGACTGCGCTGACGCCGGACGAGAAGTCCGAGCTGAGGGCGCTGTGCCGGGAGAAGTGTCGCGGTGGTCCGCGTTTGCGGACCCCAGGGCGGCGCGTGCAGCTGCAGGATTATAAGTTTTTCCCGGCGTACTTGCAGGAGGAGGTGTGGACAAAGGTCCTAGACCCGGATGCGCCCGACATAGAGCGTCTGGACGCCGTTTGCAAAAACCTCGCGGCCCTAGGCTTGCGTCACCCCAGCGAGAGCACCGAGGCGGTGGCGGCCGCGCTTTTGACCTTGCGCGTGGGCTGGGAGGACTTGCGCTCACAGCATGGGACGTACTTGGCGTGCAAGGCTCACCTTCGCTCTGTCGTGTGCGCCGCAGAGCCAATTGCCCCAGGCAGCCTCTGCGCACGTTTGCCTGCGGCGGCGAGCGAAGCGCCTGAAAATGTGCGATCCCAGGCGCAGCGCAGCGGGGTGGGCCGCCCGCTGACGGAGGTGCTCGCTCGGGCCGCTCGGATCCCAATGAGAGCCAGCAATCGCCACGCGAAGGCCGCCCCCGCCACCGGAGGAGGCGAGCCAATTTTGCAGGCGTTGCAACTCGTGCAGACTTGCATGCAGTTTTTTTCCGGCCAGCCCCGCGCGTGTGGGCTTGGCGCAGCTGTCCCAGCCCGAGGCCAGCCCAGGATGTTGATCAACCTCCTGCAGGGCGGCCAGCCGCCCGAAGCCAGTGCGCCCGCAGCCCGTCTCCTAGCGCTGGAGGACCAGGCCCACCCTCCGCAAGAGGAACGAGCGACCGCGTCCGGCGGGGTTGGCGGTGGCGCCGCGGCACCCGCGCCGGCAGACAAGGTCGAGCCCCCCAGCGCGACCGGGTCGGCGGGCCCAGAGACCGGACCGAGCTGGCCTCCGTGCCCGCCTCCTGCAGCCTCTCTAGAAGAGAAAGCCGAGGCAGCGCCCGCCCCAAGCTTGAAGCAAAGCGCTGAGCTCTTGCGAGACGCGCGAGCAGCGGGCCGCGGGGAGCAGGTGATGAAGCGGCCGAGCGTGTGGTCAAGCGCCCCGCCGCGGGCCGCGAGGAGCAGGTGATGAAGCGCCCGGCGGCGGCCGGGCGTGTGCTCAAGCGCCCCGCCTCCAAAAGCCCGGCCGCCGCAGACTCCACAGCGCCCAACAGCACTGCCCGGGCCACGAAGAGGTCACAAGAGGCCGTCTGCGAAGTATATCCCTAGCTGGAGCCGTCGCTTGACGGAAAAGCCAAATGGCTGCTCCAAATACAGACGAGTCGCAGGGTGCTGCGACTGCTGCTGGACGTATCGAGGGTACGTCGTTCCTTGACGCCCTCGCGTGGCCAATCCCGCGGTGGTCCGCGCGATGTTGGCGCACTTACGCGGGCAACCCCGCCCGAAGAGGCAGCAGCGCACACGCAACACGCAACACGCAACACGAAACGCGGTGGTCCGCAGGCGGAGCTGCGCCAAGGTCGTCGCGCCGGGCGAGGCGACGTGTGACATATGACGTTCGGCGAGAAAAAAGCCCGCTCGGAATGTGTGTGCATCACTGCCTTTGAAACACGTGTCTTTTTCCGACTTGAAACTGTACCGAAATCACTCACGCATGCACTTCCAGCCCACGCTGCGCTTGCCCGTCCTGAAGCCCACTTGTTTGTGTATATATATATATATATGTATCTGC